AAAAGAAAGTAAGATTCCCACCAATGCTTGGATGTGTTTCCATGACTTCAGTCTGCATTTGAATTGACTTTTAAGTTAAGATAATATGAGGACAAGAGTTGGCAAAGAATTGGCATAGAGTTGGCAAACATTCACATTTTGGTTAGCATTAAGGCATACATCGAGAGCTCACTTCACCATCACTTTTGCAATTTTGGTGATCAATGAATGGAGTCTTTAAAACATTTGAGATAAGTTTCATCTATTGAGCGTTATATCGGGTCTAACACTCAATAATCAGATTAAATCTCAATATGAATTGATTTGTTTGTCAAATCTCATGTTAAGGTAAGCATAATTACAACCTATTTATTATGAAATGCTAAATACATTACTTCTAATACTAAAATTGAGTATTTAATAATCATTAAAATTGAATATTTAATTATGTTATACATTAAATTCAAAACTTTTAAATTGCAATTACTATAATGTTTACAAGTTGAAAGGTTAGAGTAATTAAAATCGTTTATTAATTTGTGATGTAAATTCTACAATTTAAATGATTTTATAATAAAACTTATTGTAACTCTAATATAAAATACATTTATTTATAGTTTTCACAGTCCAATTGTTAGCTAATAATGTATTTATTAATATCACTTCGTATTATATGCTATATTATGTATTATGCATTTAAATCTATTTATATTCCAAAATATTTGCCTACAATAATTGTGAAAGTATTTTCTTGGTATTACATTTAATAATTACTAGTTTGTAAATATAATAAAAATGTAATTTTTAAAATATATTTTACGAAAACATGAGAATAAGTAAATTCTAGTATTTATTTAAAAATTTAAACTCAATTCTGGGCGATCTCTGTGTGAAAGCAAATAAATTTTCATTTACTAAAAATACTCGACTGTTTGAAAGGCCGTCGTTTGCGTCGCTATGTCTTCGAGTGTTAAGGCTTTAAGAGATTGAGAGAACATATCGTTTGTATAGATCTTAAATGTTTTCACTTGTTTTGCCACAAGGAATGAGAGAATGAGAGTCAACTCGTTTGCCATTCCTAACCAAAACCCCATTTGATTCACATATAATTCATTTTTCAATTTTGAATCCAAACACTGGATAACTACCAAAATATGTGTTTTACTACAGCTTTAATTCCTTAAAATATTTTCTAATCCAAGTCTCGAATGATTCCTATTTTTTGTATGAATGTATTTTTAACCATATGTTTCATCCATTTTAAACACCACTTATATGTTCACTAATGAATCCAATGTTTAAAACTTAAAACTAGCTAATTATTGTCATTTGCATTAAATGTCACTTCTTTTCAAAATTGAATTTTCACAACTCTTTTCTTACTTTAGATTTTATAGTCTAAAAGAAATAAATTTTAAGTTTTGTTTATTTACTCAAACGAACCATAATTAATGAAATTATCATAAAAAGTCGTCAAAACTTATTTTAAAATAAAATTACACTCTCTTTAAGATTACTTTTAAATAAAATTATCATTTGCTTTATTTTTTATTTGTTTCTATTAATAGAGATGTGTTTTTAGCAAAGTTTATAATTAGAAAATTATTTGTCTTTCAGTTTCAAGCGATGATTTCTATTTCTTTATTACAAGTAATAATATTTCCCATGTTTTTTATCAAACGTTATCATAATATGTTTCGTACATAAATTAAATGCAAAACCAGTTAATTTTGTTGATAAGTTTAATCTAATAACGTACAGATCTGTACACTAATTATATTAATATAAATCAATATAAATTTATAATTCAATAAAAATTATTTAAAATATTTATAAGTCAAACAAAAACTATATGTTAAAAGTAATAATAAATGCATCTATTTTTCAGATACCAAATGAATGAATAAAGCATAAGAAGTGTTGGATTTGAGGCAACAATGATCTAAAGGATGAACACTAATAAACCACAACAGAGTACTATTCATAAGATCCGAGAAATAAAATTGGAAGCGCTTTATATCGATAGGGATTACGATGTGTTGAAAGAGATCGGTTCCGGAGATTATGGTAAAGTCATATTAGCCGTACACAGAGATACTGGTTCTGAGGTGAGCGCTGCCTTTGCATCACAAAAACTTGTTTTATTATAATATCGTATCGTTTACTCGATCTTAAGGTGGCGTTAAAAGCCGTGCCAAAGGCCACGACCCCTACCAAAGACTTTTTGATGGAATTTCATTACAGCTATTTTCTATCGCCGCATAAAAACATCCTGGACACTTATGATGTCGCCTTTGAAACCTCTGAACACTACTATTTTGCTCAAGAAGTCGCACCCTTTGGTGATCTCTCACAGGTTTAGAACTGAAAAGAAGATTCTTTGCAAACAATTTACATTTCTTTATGCGTTAATGCTTTTGATCACAACTGATAGGCCGTCGAGAGAACAAACGGTGTGGGACTCAACGAACGGGACGTTAAAATTGGTATTTAATTCACATTCAATGCATACTTTATAAGCGTTTAATGTTTGCATTTATTGGCGGTTTTAGTTGTGGAACAGATTAGTTCGGCGCTTGAGTTTATGCACGACAAGGAATTGGTTCACCGGGACGTCCGGTTAGACTCAACTCACATATTTAGACACTAAATATTCATTGAAACTATTTTTTATTTCTAAATATATTTTTAAAATATGGTCTAAATATTTGCATTTTATGACTACAAACAGAGCCGAAAATGTGTTGATTTATACCCCAAACTTAACAAAAGTTAAATTAACTGATTTTGGATTAACACGAAAAGTAGGCACTTTAGGTATTGATATTTATTTTCATTTCTCAATTTATTATTTATTTATTATTATTTTATTACATAATAATTAGTGAAGAAAAGAGTGAAGTCATTGCCGTCGTGTCCGCCAGAAGTATGGGAAGCGGTTCTGTTAGAGGGCTATAACATTGAAGTGGGAAGCGATGTCTGGCAGTTAGCAATGATGGTCTACGTGTGTCTCACCACTCGCTTCCCATGGGATAAGGCGGACATAACTGATCCGCGATTTACAGACTTTGTTCAGTGGCACAAACGTAAGACCACGAGAACTCCCAAAGAATTCAGAGTATTCTCTGCCCGACTTTTAAGGCTTATGAGAAGATTAATGGAATTGAAGCCAACGAAACGCTATCCCGTCACTGAAGTGAACAAATACTTGAGAGACCGATGGCTCGTACAAAGGTCTCAACGCGCCTCTTCAGTTCACCCACAGGTTTTACCATATTTATTATCAAGTAATTCATCATTAATTGTAAACACACTATCATTTGCACACAAAATAGGGTGATTTGAACGGAAGTCACGTAACTCGAAGTCTATCGTGTAGTCATTTAGTACATCCGCACCACAGATCTGATGAATGGATGGCATCCAAGAGCAAAGATGACCACAGTTTATATACAGATTGAATAAATTTATTTATTTTCACAACAATTTTGTTTTTGTTTTAAAATCATATTTTCATAGCATTTTATCAAAACATATATTTCATTAATTGTTTCAAATTGTTATTTAATAGATTTGTATATGACATGAGTTACTATTAAATATTATAACTCTATATAAAGGAATACTGAATATATTTGTATTTATTAAGAACTCGTTTAATATTTGAAATATTTTAAAATCTTCTATAATTGGAAAAAAAATTCAATCAATTTTAAACATTTTTCATTTCACAAATTATTTAACACAAAAAGTGACCGATTGTTAGTAGAGAAGAGAAATTTGTGGTTTTAATTAATATTTATAAGTTTTTGTTATATATTTCATACAATATTCTTGAAGAATGTAAAATTTATGATACAATAAATACAATCAAATCTTATTGTGAGTGATATAGTGATATACGGCATGTTTTAGCGATTAGTATTAATACATTTCACTTCTATATAGTATTTGTTTTTAAATGATTACAATTAAGAGCACGAAATCACAACAAAATCAATTCATAAATCATTTTCACCAAAATCTAAGCAAAACATGTTTTGCTTAATAATTAATTTGTTTCGTGAGCTATAATTACAGCAAAGATGTTATCACTTGATTTACTGTAACTTATATACAAATGGTCTCTATATGTAAATTATTAATTGATAACCAATTGCTCATTAATTGCTAATTTTATTTATTTTAGTCAAATTAATTTAAATAATTTAAAAATTTAAAAATAGTAAATAATTGCACATTTGACGAACATCACATTTATTGTTGAAATTAAATATTTCCATTCTATTCAAGGATTTATACTTATTTTGACCACTTGTTAAACAAATCACATTTTACTAAACATATAATTAAATATCATAGACCATAGATTTCTAAGTAATCTACAGAAATGTATGGAAATAATAATCGGTCTAAGAAAACATGATAAATATAATGATAATTTAAATACATTAGTGAGTTTAGCATTATAACTGTTTTGGCTTTAAATAAAGCACTATTCTATAACTCTAAAGCCATAATACGTTCATTTGACGGTCAATATCACAATACAATATTAATCTTACATTTTTTATAATTTTTATTTATGAATCGAAAAATTTACAAATATTTATTATCTTGAAATTTAATACAATAACTGATTTTATATTATTATTAAATTTATAGAAATAAATATATTTAAAAATCTTTGGGCTTTAAAAATAAACACACTTTTAAAATAGTAATAATTATAGAGTAAAATAACTGTATTTACGGTTAGGTTTTTATCAAAAAATATATTATTATAATACTTATTGATTGAGTCATCAATTGATTTAATCGTTAATGTGTTTTAATATAAACACTAAAAGGGGTTATGTTTTGGTGAAAGGATTGATGATTACTTTAATTGGTTTGGAGTTTGATAAGTAATTTATGGGTAAATAAATCAAGTTTGACATTTTGGACGGTGGGATACGATAGCCGTTTGACACAACCTTCTTAGTCGTCGATTTTGTAATTCCTGTAAAATTAAGACATTTTTATATACCATAGTGTATAATATTGTAAACTTTTACCGTTGAAAATAAACTAAGAAAATACTCATGTTTTTAGTTTTAAAAATTATTTTTTAACTTTGATTAATTAAACGAAAGGTTTATCAAAGTGTCAAAAGAGTTATAATTAATTAAGTGCTAATGAGATGAGAAGATGGCATACCTTTCAAAATATCAATTGGTTTTGCATTTGATACGAATTGTATGGGAAGCTTATAATATGTTGAATAACTATAAGCGTATGGATTGGCTATTAATGAACTCGTTGTTTGCGGTAATGTTGTCCTCACCGGTACTCTAATCTGTGAGCCATAGTGTGAGGCCATAGCCATAGAGTTGCCCATCATATGAGGCGATGATATGTAATAAATGAGTGAATTCTTCAATTTGGTTGTCCTTCTGGTCGCCGATTCACTGGTCGTAAAGATCACTAAACTTAGCATTAGTGCCAACACATGTCGCCATTCAGTGCTTGTTATCGATTTAAATCGCAACGATCTGTTCAATTGAATCTCTAAGTTAAATCATTTTAATTTTAAGATAACCATTTGTTTTTTTCTAATCACAAATATGTTTGTATAGCATTTATTAGTGAATAATTTCTCTGATTCAATGTTTAAGACATATTCTATAATAAATGCAATATTTAATAATAAATGAATAAATTATGAAACGATATGTTATTGAGGAAAAGATATTGTCATTAAATGACTTAATAAAGATTATGTGTTCAAAGGTATGTCTGAAGACAAGTATAAATAATTTATTCGGAGAGCATATGCTTTAATAGAGCGATGATATGATATTCTTGTGTTAATTTCAATGAACTTTCAAATGAAAACCTTTTGAGGAGTGTATCGAAAATCATGTTTCAAAAGCTGTGAACATAAAGAAAGAGTTAATATAAACGTGACTTTCATTACGATTAGGAGAGGAATCGCATGAAAACTGCAGAAATAAATTTGAATTAAATGACCGAAAAAAACTTAAAATTCACTAAAATTCAGTGAATACGAGACCGTATTTTACTCAATGATCGATCGATCTCTTAATTTATTTATCTTTAAATCTTTTTATTTATCATTTATGAAAGTTAAGTAAATATATTATTATTTATTATCACTTCAAATATATATAAAATACAATATCGTAGTAAAAGAGTTTAGACCGCCGTCTCTGTCCTCAAGCCTATAATAACTCATTTTAATTTTTCTAATCTCATCCCAAACATTGATTTTATTATTTCCTTCGGTTTAAACATAGTTTCAGTTTAAAACTATTTATTCTCATAAAAATACTTGACTTCACATATAGTAATGCTTTGATCAGATTATGTTATATAACAATATGATATATGGTATGTATAGTATAACTTAAATATGTGTTTAACAGTTATTTGAATATATTTACAGTTAAACACTACTTCCAAAACATTATGACAGCGAATAAATTATTAAAATGTTTCAAACATTATAGTGTACTCTCTTTTTGGAGAGAGAGAGAGAGAGAGAGAGAGAGAGAGAGAGAGA